GGAAGTAATTATCTTCAACTCTGAAGGAACATCCGAAACATGTCAAACATTTTTTTTACAATATCACTAGTTAGTATGAAATATTTAGACTATCATTAGACAGTTTCAAGCATCGAACTATAACTATTCATGAAGTATTAGCTAGCCTATCACTCAATATTTTTACATAATACACTAAATTCTGTCACTAGACATTTAGAAATATTAAACTACAATATCATCAGACATTTTGAAATATTCTAGACTATCACTTGACATTTTAAAATATAGCCTACTAGACTATCACTATACAAAATAAGGTATAACTAAACATTATGAAATAAGTAAACTATCACCGGACATTTTCAAATAAAAATATATATATATTCCCGAGAATAGTGGTCATAGCACTTTACAGATACAATAACATAATTTTGTTAACAAGTCAAAAGAATGGAGTTATCTGTTCTTGTTTCTTCGGAAGAAAGCTAAACCGCTTTGCGTGTATGTCTTTTATATTGAAGAGATTAAAACAACTAACTTGTTCTGCCTACACAACGCAACGCAACACTGGATGGCTGGCTAGTTGTGTGGTATGCGCTTCGGATCATCGTGACGATGGGCCCAGAGTACGACCCCTAACCGCCCCCTCTCCTCTATCGTCCTGCAGGAGGTCTGGACCAGGTCTTGGTACTCTCCCCTTCTCAATAAGCGTCGGAAACTTTGCAAAACAAAACAAGTGAAAAGAAAATGAAATACTTTTTTTTTTAAAAAAATCGCAATGCTTATATTAAGTGTATCAATTAGTTGGGATCAGTCATATAATTAACTATACATCACTGAGTCGCAGCCTAGACATTATAAATCTGTGCGATTGAAATATTTTTATCGATTGTTTTTGTTTAGCTTTTAGCTTTCTGAATGCGCTATGTCTGGACCACTTGTGAAAGGGGGAGGAAAGAAGGGGGGGGGGGTATCTTTGTAAATCTTTACTCCAGTGTTTCCCAAACTTTTTCCTTAACACTTCGCACAACCAGAGTATTTATCGGAACACTTAACAATTTTTTTTTAGAGAGATTAATTCACGTGGTGGCCTACTAGTTAATTATTGCAGTAGTTTGTCGCACACCTGGTGTCCAAGCCTCGCGGAACACTATAGAGTTCCAAGGAACTGGTTGACATGGTCGTTTTTTTTTTAAATGCCTAAAAATATGTTCTCCCAGGTCTTAAGATTCCTCTAGGGCTCTAGGGCACTAATTCAACTTACACCATTGCATCTGCAAAGTACGATTTCTATTCCTTGTTGAAGATACAAAACAAAATAGTTAGCTTAATAAATAATTTTAAATTGATTCTTGTGTTTTCTGGGTGTGAGCTGGCGCTCCTAGATCTAATTTTTGACCTAATTTTTATCTAATTTATATTATTTATATAGGCCAGGGCTATGATGTTTGTAATTGAGTGTCCTTTTTAATTTTTATTGTTCAGTGCTGAGTATTTTGTAGTTTCCGCTATTTATAACTTTCTGCTACTTTTAGTCTTTTTCTGTTATTTGTGTTTTACTCGTAGAGGAAAAGTAGTTTTTAAAATAATTAACTAGCCTTAAAGCTGTGGATGTTATTTCCTATTTTTTTTGTCCCTGGTTAGTTCTGCTTATTTTTGTCTTTGGCATTAGCGTTGGATTGGTTGTTATTTTTTTATATCAGTTTATCTGCAGGTCTGTAAACGGTATAGAGTACCCATATGAGTTTAGAATAGAAATAACTTTTTATCTTCCTTTTTGTATTTTTGTAGAATTTAAATTTTAAGATTCTCTTTTTAATGCTGTTTAATTTGGTATATAATGTTGTGTAGTCCGTGTCTTTAGTAATTTGCTAGATTTTATTGTTGTGTACGGCTAGGTACAAATTAGGGAAATCGGTAGTCCAGTTTAGTTATAGATAATTATCGTGACGTCATGCTCTCCGATATGTTCGCGCTGACCAGTTATAGCTAGCTCCAGAACCACGTTGAGCTCTCTTTTGTCTTGACCAGTGGTCAGTGCTGACAGTGGTGCCTGTATAAAGTTATTTTTGTGTAGTGTAATTTCAGCTGGGACCGCCTGTAAGTTGGAAAATGTTTTTATTTTTGCTTTCTTTCGTTTGTATTTGTATTGATTGTTTCTGCATATATTGCTATAGTCTAGATGCAGACTGATTAGTGTAGTGGCATCACTGGCTAGTTAATTAGCCATGATTACCTCTGATGGAACCGGAAGTTTTGTAGACTTGGGTAGCGTCACCCAATTGCGCCAGCCTTAATGCTTTTTGCTTTCCTATACTATGTCTATGTGTAAATATTTTATTATTTTATGTTTCCTATGTATTTTTATGAATATTTTATCGTTAGGATAACCACTCTATTTAAGTTGGCATTTTTGTCCTACTTTTTAATGTAAAAGATGGCTGCGTCCTAAGCATCGCTGTCATGGCGGCTTGTTTAGTCTTATCTACTATTATCTAGATCTAGCTTATGTTTATTGTAGTCTAGCCTGACCTGTGTTGGTTGTGGCTGGGACTTTAATAACTCAGGTATTGCTTTTATTAGCTACATGTAGGTAGGGTATGCACTAACTAGGTCTAGACCAGTCCAGTCTAATATATGTGTTATAGTCCATTATTTTTTTTTTTTTGAATATTGTCTTAAGTTTGTTTATTTTGTAATTGCAGGCTATAATTCCTGCATTACTGCCTTACTAACTGCCTTACGGCCTAACTGCCTTATTTCGGCTGTAGTTCTTCTGTACTGCTGCTAGTAGTTTACTGTTTAGTGTTGGGGTAATTTAGGTTATTTGAGGGTTGATTAATTATTTAGTAGTGCGTATATATAGTTTTGTTTATTTCTAAGTTTATTTTCATTTTCGTATTCACCTATATTTTTATTGCTTTGTAAGTTGGTTGTAAATAAAGTGTATATAAGTTTGTTTTATAATTTTAGTTGGTTATTTTATCTTTAGTTAGTTAGTTTAGTTTCATTTAATTGTGCTGTCTGGTTGCTTAGGCGACTCTAGCCTCTTGGTCGCAGACCGAGGTATACAGATTGGGCCCACCCAGTAGAGCTACCACCTGCCTACTGTTTTTAAATGAACAAATGATGAGCAGCAGATAACAGAATAGGGCCTCACTCAGTAGCGCCACCCTGACCTGCTCACACTGGTAAAAGAAATTTCAGCTTAACCCGAGATTGGGTGTGGGAGAAATAACGTGTACAAACTTTTGACCAGACAGACAGCGAGACAGACAGAGTTGATAAAAGCTTTGTAATAAACTTTCTCTTCGCCACGAACAAACGAACAACAAAAGGCCACAACAACAAGCAAATTAGCAAAATATAAAAATATTTTTTTAAAAACTAAAGCTTATCTAAGGGAAACAACTCCACACTTACAACTAGATTTCTCAATAATCTAGAAGTCATTTTCCCTATACGATATCAAACAAATTTATTTAAGTACCACTATTTAATTAACTAATTGGTAAATTTTATAATTGATTCATGTTTTGTTCGGTACACTAAATTATCGTCTAAAACTTGAACTAGATCCGATAATGGGTGTGGGAGAAATAATGCATTCAATTATCTAAACCCTAAATCACCTTTACCACACCATCACCCATCCCTAAGTCATTTGGACCGTTAGGGCACCACACAATAATTGTTAACCATCTTTCTCCATTTCTCTCTGCCATTTACATTAGGATAGAACCTCTTTCAATGTCAGCCCCGTCCATTCTTTTATGTTGTATTTGCATCGCTTTCACTGTCTGCATCTTTTTCTTTTTCCTGGTACTGTTCCCTGAAAGAACTCTAAATATTTAGCCCTGTGAATACTACACAAATCTCTTGATGGTATCAAGAAAAATAACTTATTACCAGTCATTAATTGACTAATTTTTTTTTTAAATATTAGTTAATGTCTTGTCTATGACAATCAATAATTGTGCAAAGTTTCAATTTTATCCGAGAAAGAACGGTGGTCGCTTTTTTAAATGTATTTTAAAATAAGTTGTAAGACATGAACTCAAACTCAAAGGGACTACTTTAGCTTATACCACCACATCTTTCAAGTACAATTTCTTTCCCTTCTTCGATATCAAGCAAAATAGTTAATTACCCAATAGTTAACTTCCTAATTGGTTAATTTTTTTACATTCTTATTATGTCAGGTAAAAGAAATAATTGTACAAAATTTAATTTCAAATTAATCCGAGCTTGGGTGTGGGAGAAATAACGTGCGCAAAATTTTACCAGACAGACAGAGTTAGTTGATATAAGCTTGTAAAATACTTTAAAAAAAAACAGTTTTTTTTATTCTAAAGGGAAGAACATTTACTGCGATATGAAACAATATTAATTAATTACCTCTAATTAAATAATTGTTTTGTTTTTCTTGATTCGTGTTTTGTTAGGAAGAATTAATAATTGTGCAGAGTTTCCACTTTGTCATAGTATAGGTAGTAGAGCAAGTACCAGACAGAGTGAGTTGTTATAAGATTTGTAAAAATATGGGTTTATTTATGGTTTGGAGTGGTATGCATTATTTCTACATTATATGTCACTCTTATTAACATTGCAATGAGCACTCCAAAGAACTAGTCTGAAATAATGGGAGTACTGTATCAAACAACGCACCTGGTGTAGGTAACAAAAGACACTACGTCAAGGGGTTAATGAAGCGTAGCTCTGGATAAGTTGGATAACTGTGGGATACAAACAATGACATCAAAGGGAGACAATGCGAAATAAGGGAAACAAGTTCATGTACATTAGATTTTGCTTTTAAATGTCCAACACCAGTCTACACTAGGTGATAGTTTGGTCAATATAAGACATTTTAAGCATATGAAGGTTGACGTGCGTGAAGTGTGTGATGTATGACTGACTTATATGACTTAAGTCAAAGGGTTGTTGAAAGCAACGAAATTTGAATATTATTCCTAGTTCATTTTTTTTAATTGACCACATGTTACAGTCTTGGCTCGGTTTACATTCGCAATACCAAAGCAGGTAGATAGATCTATATAGGCAGCCGAAATGTCAATGCCACTTAGAAAATATTAAATGTTGACTAGTTACACCAGTTATATATTTTTGTTACCATAATGTATCTCGGCTCTACAGAAGGACTACTCGTTAAGTATGAGCCAAACAGTATCATAAAAATGTACATATGAGTTTCAAAGGTAACTCAAACATTGAATCGACTTGAACATGCATTGTTAAATATTGAGTGTTGTGTAAGTTAGCCTGTACACACTCTACATTGACCATCGTACTTGGGATTCAGTTTTCAGTTGAAATATTTGACTCGTTTTGGAGATTTATCATTGTCATGATAGTAAGCTGTGAAAGTTTTCAGTTGAACTATTTGACTCGTTTTGGAGATTTATCATTGTCATGATAGTAAGCTGTGAAAGTTTTCAGTTGAACTATTTGACTCGTTTTGGAGATTTATCATTGTCATGATAGTAAGCTGTGTCAGTTTTCAGTTGAACTATTTGATTCGTTTTGGAGATTTATCATTGTCATGATAGTAAGCTGTGTCAGTTTTCAGTTGAACTATTTGATTCGTTTTGGAGATTTATCATTGTCATGATAGTAAGCTGTTACTAAAATTAATTTGTTTCAAGTTTGAAAACAAAGATACAAAGAGATAGTGCTTCATGTTAAACTCTCTGATTTGATATTTAAATCGTGTGTTTTCCTGGTTCTAAATTTTATTCATTTATTTTCACATGTTTGCATTGGTCCTGATCGGAATTCTTTTGGAAAATAATTGGAAGCGATCAGCGAGTCTGCAAGGTTTCAACACATCTGGGAATAGAGATTATGAACTTTCAAAATTGAACAATTCTAAAGTAATAGTAGAGATAATGAAAATATAAAGTTAAACAATTCTAAAGTAATAGTAGAGATTATGAAAATATAAACTTGAACAATTCTAAAGTAATAGTAGAGATTCTGAAAATATAAACTTGAACATTATTATTATCATTATAGCTTTTATATAGCGCTACTTTCATGCTAATAGCATGCTCAGAGCGCTTTTGGTCCAATCTCATTTGTGGACCAGTGGGGTGGGGGAAGGTGGTATCTAGGAGTTGGTTTTCCGTGCTACCTTTAGGCGCTCAGTAAACACAACTCTGCCCGAATCGGGTGTCGAACCTCGAGCCCCCTTCTAGGTAGCCAAGCCAAGCCAAATTCAAGCGCACTTAGCCTCTCTACATTTCTAGTCAAGGAGTAGAGATTCTTAAAATATAAAGTTGAATAATTCTAGCCAAGGAGGAAAAAAAATAAAAAGTTGAACAATTCTAGATTATACAAACAAATCTCAATTTGAACATTTCTCGTATAGGAGTATAATACGAATTGAAACATTATTGTTCAGAAAACATAACTTATGGTCATGATATAATTAACTCATTTCCAAGTCTTAAGCTGTAAAAACTAGCCAAATTTTTACCTACATGACCATAACTTGGTTAAATCTGAATGTATTTACCTACATGACCATAACTTGGTTAAATCTGAATGTAGATATCTACATGACCTAGCTTGTTTGAATCTCATTTATCCACATGAAAATAGCTTGGTTGAATCTTAGTTCTTACTTACAGGACCATAACTTGGTTGAATCTCAATGTTCATTCTTTAGTTGTACATAAAGTTTAAAATGTATTCTGTTGTAACATAACACGTTTTTTTTTTGTTTTTGCAACGACCAACTTCACTAACAACGACCAACTTCACTAACGCGCACAACAAACTGAACAAGAAAAACGCTGGACTGTCTGTGACATCTTATAAGTCAGCGATGCTTTGGGTCACCTTGACACTAGTGTTTTTGATGATGAGTGGAGGTCAAGGACAAGGTGAGTGTCATCATTTTTTTTGTCTTTGTTACTTACTTTATTGCATCCATTCACACTTACAAGGAAGGCGTCGCGAGGAGATCTAGCCGGCGATCTGATGCGTGATGTTTGGTGAAAACTTTATAGAGTTAAACTTATTCCGATATTGCGGTTTCATGTCATTGATCCATTAATTTCTTGATCTTCCACATTTTGTTTTGGCTCTTCACAATCTCTCTTCACACTGTCCACATTCTATAAACACTTCACATTTCTCTCCACAATCTATTTACATACTCTCCACAATTCTCTCCACAATCTGTCTCCACATATTCCAAATTTCTCTCCACAATCTCTCTCCACATTCTCAACACTTCTCTCCACATTCGACAATATATCCACACACACACACACACAGACATTCCACATTTCTCTCCACGACATCTCACCACACACACCACATTTCTCTATTCCCTCTCTCTCCACACATTCTCGTCACCGTCTCCACACACTTCACATTTCTTTTCACAATATCTCCACACACACACACACACTTCACACACTCTCTCTTAACACTCTATCCACACCTCCGTACTCTTCACTATCACTGGACATCACAAGCCGATGACGTTTAATCCAAACATTTGCTTAGCGAAGTCATAGTTACAATTCTAATAATCGGCTTTAGTGAGTTTGTTGATTTCAAATAAAGTCCCACAAGATGGTGGAACTGGTTTCTTACAAAGCTTCTATCAACTCACTCTGTCTGTCTGTCTGTCAGGGTACAATCTTTTGCCCGTTGTTTCTCCCACCTACCACATTTGTATTAAGTTGAAACTTTGCACAATCATTCAATGTCCATGAATCAATTCAAAAAAATTAACCAGTTAGTTAATCAATTAGTCGTAATTAATTAACTTTTGATTGACATCAAAAGTATACTAAGGTTAGGGGAGATAATTCTTGCTTGTGTAGAGAATTATGTCCTTCTTTAAAAAAAAAATTTAACAATAAGCAACACTCGCAATGTGTTTTTTTTTTTGTAATGCACAATTTTAGAACAAAAAATTCCTCATGGATGATACAGAGTTTTCTTTTTCTTAATATTATTATTACTGTTAAACTATAAAAACTTCTATTTTTATAAGTACTTGAATAGCTCAGTGGCAAACATGTCTGTCTTGCACCATGGAGGCTAAAGTTGGAATTCAGACTTGATCAAAACTTTCTTTTATTTCATTGCTTTTGAAAAGGCAGCACGGAAACCTGCTCCTCCCTCTTCCCCCCCCCCCCCCCCCAACTGGTGCACAAAGGTTTCGATAAACAAAAACAATTAATACAACTATTTCCAATCGCACAAATCTATTATTGTTAGTCTAGACACTTAGTTAGTTAAATCACTAAATTTAGAAAGCCTTCAGGACAGAAGACTCAAAAGTAAAGTAGAAATTATACTTAAACACTGAACCATAATCTTCAAATACAAAAACAAAATTTAATAAAAATACTCTGAAAGACACAAAGATAAAGGCACATTCCTCGTCCCCTATGCTAGGACAAATTTGTACTAATACTCCTTCTTCCCTAGTGCTATTAGAGCATGGAATGGGTTGCCTGAGCTAACCAGGAAAACCAGTGACTTGGCAGAATTTAAGTCATTGGTTAATATGCATGACTGAATGCATGACGCGTAGGACGTAATCTTCTTTTTTGAAGTAACGTCTGTATTACATAAGATAAGATAAGATAGACTCTAGACTATTAAAAATTAACTACAAGATTGATTAACAAAAATTGATGCGATTTCATTCTAAATTACCGTTGCTTTTTTTTTTCTAATAAGTTTTTATATGTTACTTGAATTAAAGACCGAAGAGATACTCTTGATTTTGACACACAATATGTATGAAAGACTCATAAAAATTGAATCCATTTTAGTAGCCAACTCCACAAATATTCATAAAGTATTTTCGCTCTAATCTCAGGCCAGTAAAGAGTATGGCCTAGCTATTAGCACGAAGAAAACCAATGTTATGGGACCACCTGCTACAGCACCACCCTCCATCCTCATTGACGATAACAAGCTAGACGCCGTAAACGCATTCTGCTATCTTGGATCTACAATTCAAGATGCATGACGCATAGGACGTAATCATATAATCATATATATTAGATAAGATAAGATAAGATAAGATGACCTGTCTCTGGAAGAGGAGATAAAAAAAAGCGCATTGGGAAGGCCGCATGGACCTTTTGCTGGACTCTGGCCAAGAGTTTGGGAAAACTAGAAGCTCACTACAGCGACCGAAATGGAGGTCTACTATCTTCTGAGTACGGTACTGTACGGCGGTGGGTCGTGGACTACCTCACACAAGCAAGAGAGAAAACTAAACTTATTCCACTTATGTTGCCTCCAAAGGATCTTGAAAATCACATGGCGAAAGAGAGCGTGCAATACTGAGATCCTTGCACCAACAGGCCTTCCCAGCATTTTTTACAGTCCGCGGACAACGCCGTCTGCGCTGGCTCGGACATGTTCATTGGATGGAGGACAATCGCATCCCGAAAGTCATTCTCTACCGACAACTCGCGTCTTGCTCAAGAAAAACTGGTCGTCCCCACCTTCGGATGTAATAAAAACGGGACCTAAAAACAGTAAACATTGATACTGACCAGTGGGAGGACATAGCTCTGGACCGCACTAGATGAAGAGAGACAGTGATCAGGAAGGCTATCGACAGTGAAAAAACATGGGCCTCGGCTCTGCAAAAGGGGCGTGCCATACTACAAACGGCCGGCTCCTCTACCTTCAAAGCGAAAGTAACCTTGACCTGCGATATTTGTGGACGCGAGTGTCTCTCCTTAGTGGCGCTCCACAGTCATGTGATAAAGTGTACGAGATGAACCATAGCCGTTCTACCACTGATGGAGGCCTGACTGACTGACTGGTGCTTGGTTTCATTGTCTTGGGTACGAGACAAAACATTACAGCGACTCACTTGTAACTTTATAAAATCATGGGCGTCTTGCTTCTCAAAAAATCTCTAAAGTTAATCCTTGCGAATAATTTGTTAATATTGCCGTAATTAGGATGATTAGAATTCATAGAAACAGTATTAATATTATAATAGCATGCATTTTTTTTTTTTAGAATTATTATTAGCATGAATTTTTTTTTATTTTGAAACTCTCAAACTGAAAAAATTAGCCTTAATTTTATCAATGTGATCGGATTTAAAACAACTTTCCATATTGACTTTGTTTTGTAAAATTTACATTTGTATTAACATTTACTTTGTTAAAAACTTGTTCTGAAATTCAAATTATTTTTAAAATTAAAACTTTTCCTACACATTCATGATCTACAGACGATTGCCTCCATGGAGATATACTCTTTAAAGACGGAGACTTGATGTATGACGATTGTTTCCCTTGTTGGTGTGCCAACGGAAGTCAAAGGTGTTATTGGCAGACTTGTGAAAACTCGGGTATAATTTAATTGTTACAAAGCTTATTTCAACTCAAACTCGGATAAAAAGTTTATACTGAGTTTGGAAGCTTTTAGGTGCTGCTACAAATTCTGAATAAACATGACGTGTAACATCTAATAATAGAAGCTCTAAGGTACCAAGGTTCTTTTTCTCTTAATAACCTAGGTATCTTATTTTTTTACCTTTACCTATCCCTTAGTCTGTTGGACCGTTGAGGAACCAGGCAAGATTTGTCAACCGTCTTTCTCCAATTCGATCTGTCTTTTGCCTTAATTAGAACATCTTTCAATGGCAGGCCCATCCGTTCTTTTATGTTGTCTTCCTAGCGCTTTCTCTGTCTGCCTTTTCTTCTTTTTCCTGGTACTGTTCCCTGAAGTAAGGTCTTTTCGAGCCCCGAAGACATTGTAATATGGCAATAGATTTTTAGCTTGCGTATTTTTGTTACGATAGTTAGCAGGTCATCATGGGGTCCAATAGCTACAGTAAGCAGGTCATCATGGGGTCCAATCGCTGTTGTAACCCAGTCTTCTATCTCTCTATCTCTATACCCTAGTGCTGCTGTTATTAGATGTTACATTTACATATCAATAGGATACTAGTTTAATAATATAACAATATAAGTAAGCTGACTTAAACCTCACAAGTCTGTGGCATTTTACGTCTCGAGAGACGATCTTTACCCTTTGCAACTTCACGTGTGACTAAAGAGGCCAGTTCTTGACACACCTCATTAGTAAACCCGGAGCAACACCATTGTAAGAAAATGGATATCCTTGACACACACTCTGAGAGTACAGGATCGACAACAACCCACACATGATGAGGACCTCCAGCCTAACACACGTTACCTCCACGTAATAATAATATAACCATGTTAAATTTCACTTTGAATGGGAACCATTTATTCCTGTTAATGGGAACAATCTATTTCTGTTAAATGGAGCCATTTATTCCTTTTAATGGGAACCAATGAAACCAGAAGACCATTCGCATACAACTCTCTTTGTCAAGAGTGAGTCACTGTATAAACATAGTACCGACATACTTTATTTGTTTCAGCGCATACTGTCTTTGTTTCAATATTAACTGTCTTTGTTTCCTTATAAACTTTCTTTGTTTCAACATAAACTTTCTTTGTTTCAACACATATAAACATGAACAATTCTAGTCAAGGAGTATAGAATATGAAAATATTAACTTGAACAATTCTAGTCTACAAGTAGAGACTATGAATTGTAACAGATTTTATTGTTCATAAAGATACCTAATGGTTATGATATAATCAACTAATTTCAAAGTCTCAAGCTGTAAAAACTAGCCAAGTTTTTACCTATATGACCATAGCTTGGTTGATTCTCATACTGTCTTGGTTCCAAAATATCC